ATTGGCTTTAAGTATTGGATAATGTTCAAATTGAGCATTCAGTTCTCTCTCCCTATATTTACCCTTTAGAGTCTGAGCTGGAGAGGCACGGTGGGAAATCTTCTAAAGCAGTGTGCCTTTTAGCCTTAATCTAGTCTCTCTTGAGGGCCATGTTCCCTGCTTTGAGGACCTGTCGGTCATGGAGAGCACTAAGACAGTTCTGTGTGTTTTTTTCCCCCAGACATTCATGTTAAGCCCAGACAGAAATTAGACAGCAGCTTTCACCCGGCAAAATAATGAAGCTAAGTCTGATCAACACCTGGATGGAAGACTGCTAAGGCTCTGTTTACTCCTGGGGTCTCATTGATAAAATGAGTGTACACAGATTTGATCTTAGAGTCTATGTACCAAAAAAAAAACATGTCAATGGTCAGATATATAAAACGGTCTTTGATGTGGAAAAGTGTTTGCAGAAGATCAGAATCAGAAGAATTCTGAGCAGATGCATCCAATTTTCCATGTGGCAGAGTCAGAGTACTCCAAGAATTTGACAATTCTTGCCACTCACCGTTCTCAAGTAAAGAATTTGGATGCTGACCCGGTGCTCTTTTATATGCCAATGACATTAATTAGGGGGCGTTTACAAGGCAGAGATCTGAAACCATTCAACTCCACACAGTTTAAAGGTCATTTGCGATTTATAGATTTCTGTGTGATATACAGATTTTTGTGTGTAAGTTTGTTTCTCTGAATTACATATAAGCAAATTTGAAAAAAAAGATCTTAAGTATGATGTAGAGTGGTTTCTGTACGTGAGGTCTTCAAATACACCTGGGAAGCTCCTAAATATCACACATACGAAAACAATTTCACAACATCATTTTTAATCATAAGAATAAGGTCACAACCTAATTGGAAAGTTATTATGACATATTTTGTGACAGAATATACCAAACATCTAAAACAATGCTGTGTGTTGGGCTAAATGTGCTCATTGTGTAGCTACATATGGTGACAGAAATCACAAAGAGTTTGTAAAATGTACAGTATGGTTCAGGTGTCTTTACTAAGCTGTAATGGGCAACATAGCTGCTATGATGAGAAAAGAATGCTTTGGTTTGTTTAGATGTCTTTGGTCAGTGCTGCACTCATATTTCAGTCAAACTGCATAGAGTTTATTTGGAAGTGGCCTGGTTGTTTGGTGCGCACCAAGGTTCGGATGGCAGCATTCAGTTGAACTGGATTAACAAAGCAATCACACCAGAGTTCATTTTAATCAAACACACATCAACAAAAATGAAAGAAAAAAAATGTAAATAAAGCAAACATGATTTTAAAATGATACCTAATTTTACCCTTGTCATGTGACACACAGCAGCCACGATAGC